TTATTATGGCATTGGCTTGCCCACACTTAATTCCTTCTTGTGGTTGAGGAGCAATAGTACTAGTATTGATTCCTTCTTGTGGTTGAGGAGCAAATTTAGTACTAGTATTTAGCTTCCTTAGAAGGTTAGTGTTCCAATAGTTTTTCACATCGTTAGCTGTCCTTCCTGGAAGTCTACCAGCAATAAGTGACCATCTACATACATACATAACATAATTAATTTGTCACATATATTCAATCAAGCTTGGAATAGACTTTCTAAGACTCCTAGTGGGATAAGGCGGAGTCTGGAAAGTCTATTCCAAGCATAAATTTGATAACGATATATATAGTTATTCTCAAGATATCTTAACATCGCCATGCAAAAAATATTGCGAGCTATAAACTTTTGGATGACATAATCACGAAAATTTAGGTGAGTCTCCTATGAGATTAAAATGTCAAACATAAACTTGCCGATTGCCTAAGAGCTTATGAAGTCTCAAGATGAGATCCACTTCATCCCCATCAAAGTCACCTCTCTTGATATGTGGCCTTAGATAATTTAGCCACCTCAGTCTACAACTTTTCCTGCATCTATTTAATCCTGCACGTATTCACATGAAGTTTAAGAAAGAAAGAAAAACATAGTAATAGTATAATAGCTAGTTAGTTTACCAGCTCTAGTTGGAACAAGATTCCACTTTCCTTCTCCATACTTATCAATACATTTCCTCAAAAGGATATCTTCTTCTTCAGTCCATGAACCTTTCCTTATTACTCCCAAAGATGTACACATCATAGGAGTATTCATGATCATTACATGTCAAGTCATATATTTTACTACCTCTTCAATCCCTATATATATACACACACAATCTGACGTGATTGGATGGTACACAATCATTTTCAACTAAAAGATCCAACTTCGCCATGTGCCCCTGTCGAAGACGTCACCCTGCCAGGGCAATGTGATGTAGTGATGAGACTGCTCTAGTTTAATCAAATGTTTCAAGTTTGAGTCTTAGGTATGAAGAAAATCTTGTTGAGAGTGTCATTCTTAGAAAGGACCATATATTTAGTCGAGGCTCCTAATATGCGCCATATATCGGACACAGATGAAAAACCGAAAAAGATATACTATATAATTGAAGACTTAAAAGCGAAATAATAAATTATATATATATATATATATATATATATACTAGTTTTTATGTATGTTTCTCATGTTGATTAATATATACAGAAGTTTCAAAATGATATAATTGATAATCGTCTGACATTTATTGTCATCGTAAAACAAAACGTATTGAAAATTACTTTTGATTGAACGTGAAAGAATTTTTAAGAAGTGTAAAGTTGATAGAATTATAATTTGATCAAGAAAGTAAAAGACTATAATAAATCAAGAACATTATCAGATAATAACAGAAAAAGAAGAAGCAAAAAGAAAAAGAAAAAATGCCAACAAGAAGGAAAAAAAAATAAAACTCGAAGTACTAAGATGATATGAATCTCTCCATAAAATAAACTACATCTGATCATTATAATTTCATACTAAATTATAGTGCATGTGAAAATAAAATAGAAATAAAAGGCAAGTTTTAACCATTTAATAAAATCGATCATATTGCAATAGGTTCATACTAAATACAATAACTATTTAAGAAATGAATCTGTTTGATTATATTATAGCTTGACTTTCCTTCACTAACTTACCAAACTAATAGATCCCTAACGAAATAAATCGATAAAGATATACAATAATGCAAAATGATTTTAGTTTAAAGAGAGCTTATAGTTACATTGAGTTTATAAATCGATAAAGATATACAATAATGCAAAATGATAAGGTATGTTACCATTTCATCATCTTTTGTGGTGAGCATTGAGTTTAGGTAAAGAGAGCTTATACTGTCCAATAATAATTGTCTGATATTAACTTTGCACACTTCTTGAGAAATTATAAATAATATGGTAATTTTATTATACCATTTTTTGAATATAATAAATTCAATGTCTTGAAAAATGTAATAGAGAAGTGACTGACGAGAGGGAGTTGCTCGGATGGTAAGCACCCCTCACTTCCAACCCGAAGGTTGCGAGTTCGAGTCACCAAGGGAGCAAAAGGGGTGGGGAGCTCCTAGGGGAGGGTAAAAAAAAAGTAATAGAGAAGTGACTAATTAGTGATAAGGGTAAATTAGGAACTAAGTGTAAAATTATCCACTGATTTCATAAAATGGACAAGTATTGTGAGACATCCTAAAATAGTATAGTACTTGGACAACTATTGTTGAACGGAAAGAGTAGTTAATCTGTATTGAAGTGATCAAGATGAAACATATTGCACTTTTATAAAACTCAATCTAGACTAGTGGAAGAGACATCACAATATTAATGCAGTAATTGTTACTTCCTCCGTTCATTTTTAATAGTCATGATTTTCTTTTTTTAGAGTCAAATAATAAGAATTTTAACTAACATTTTATGATGTGTTTTTTTCATCATATTGATATGCAAAAAATTGTAACATATAGTATTTTTCATATAGTTTTTTGAATATTTAATTTTTTGTTTAAGATATCAAATTAATGAAATCTAATTTAACCTTGAAAATTAATTAAATTAATTTTTGAAAAACGTAACATAACAAAACGGAAGGAGTACAATATGATGTGATTTATTAGACTTCAAAATATTAAAATTTCAGTCTTTTTCTTACGTTGTATGTAGACACTCGTGAATTAGTTGTCCTTTTAGCTTTCACCACTAAAAGTATCATCTGTTAGTATTTCTCACATGTTTTGTGCGTTATTATATTTAGGGAAAAGGCTCAAATATGCCATCGAACTTTCAGAAAAGGCTTATTTATACCATTCGTTAAAAGTTTGGCTCATCTATGCCATTACCGTTTAAGAAAAGGCTCATTCATGCCATTATTTTTTAACGGTGGTTTTGCAAAACCATTTTTGCCACGTGGCCAATTATAATTCGGCCACGTCATTATTATTTTGATAATAAAAAATCAAAATTTTGAACAAACATTTTTTTCAAAATCATTTTTTACACGTGGCCAATTATAATTCGG